TGCTCGTGTATGTAATAGTCTCCCCCCTCTGGCAATGATGCAGCTTTCAAAAAAGATCATTGTTCCTAACTTTGTAAATATTGAGAAGGCATCACATTTCAAAACTTTAAGGCTTGAAGATTAATTTCCATAGGGTCGGCAAACTTTTTTGCTCTAGCGCTTCTCTCCCTTTTTTTTGAGGTTATTTCTGCTCTTTTGCAATTAAAAACGTGAAGCTTCAGACTTGACATAACCTTGACAAGCTATTTTTATATCTAAATGTGGAGATAATAGTAACAATGAAGTTAAGAGCATCCGTGCCCCGTGTCACGCAGTGACTTACCGGTTTAGTCTTGATGAGTGTCATTCGGATGTCAGTCTTCCCAGATTCTTTTTGGCGTATGTGAACTTGACTGATAACACTTCAGAACATCTGCCAGAAGCGGCAATGTTGTGTGGGAATAAGCACAGAGTTTAGAAGTATAATCTCTGGATGAAAGGGGAAACTTAAAAAAACTACTAGTGACTTTTGGACTGTGGGATAAGCAGCAGGGGAAGATTTTTTTTTTTTTTTTTTTTTGTCAGTATCTCGGATTTTAGTTTGGGGTTTTTTCCACTTGAAATTTCCCACAATTGTTTTCATTATCATTGTAACTGTAACACATGAGTATGAAGGAAAACTATTGTTATGGCTGGCTTTTAAGAGTGCTCCTATATACATTTTGAGCATGATTACGTGTTGATGGAATTCAAAACTGCTGATTACATTTGGTCACCTTTCCTACTATTGGTCGGCCAATTCTGATAATGATAGCAAAAGGAAGATTTGAAAATGGTACCACAAAAAAATACAAACCCTAGTAGAATAATGCCACTATTTTTATACAATCATTTGGGCTGGCAATTAGAAATGACGATTTATTTGATCTGTAATTCCTCAGAGAAATATTTCCAAAAACCCCTCAACACTCCCACCAAAAAACTGAAGGGGGGCACAAAGAGAGAAAATATATCAGGCATCTGAAATAACAGCAACTTCTGGATTTTTGAATAAAAATAAACCTGCTTTAGTAAATACTGCTCTTCTTAGGAAAGCAAGACTATTGGGTTCAGGTAACATGCACAAGTAATTGTTCCACTTCTCAGTCAGACAGTGCATGATTCAATGAAGTAGGTACTAAACTTGAATGATCAAATCAGTATAGCTTTAAACTAGGGGAGATGTATGGCATCCATAAGAAACATCATCATAACCTTAAATCTATAAAATAACTTACTCTGCATTGTGACAAATATTTTTCAGCTGTGTTGTATTTACTAAATAAATTCCTCATAATTTCAGTGCCTCATTAGTTTGTACACAGCAAAAAGATTTTTGCAGAGTTTTTTGGAATATAAGTACAAATTAAAAATTAGCAAAATCATACAGTGAGGTGAATAGAAAGATATTCAAGATGCATTTTTTTCATTGAGGAAATGAGTATTTATTTTCAATTTGAATTGTTGTTTAAGTTTCTTATTAAGGCTAGAAAAAGTGTGTGAGGCATATATCTTTTTAAGTTTCGTTGTATTTTTTTTTCAAAGCATGTTGGAGTACAGGCTCCAGAATGGTAGTGGAGCTGGAAGGATTGGATTATTAAGATGTGGATGGTATAAGTATACAGTATACAATATATTAAAAAAAAAAAGAAAAAAAAGGAAGAAATTTCCCAAGTAACTATTGACCAAAACAGTCTGTTTGAGTATAAACTTTTTTACTGATTTTTCACGTTAAGTCATGACAAAAACAGGAGGTCAGGCAAACCAGGTTACTGCCTTGGAAATGGGGAAGCATGGTAGAGTGCTCAAAAAGACAACAGAATGTATTTTTTTCCTCATTGTGTGTCAAAGTCAATGATAATTGTTTAGAAATTCATGTCTGAATATGCTTTTATTTTTTGAAAATGGTATGGAGAAAAATGCAGTTTTAAAAAGACATTAGATGAGCCAATATGACAATAGTGAGAGAAGGAATAGAAAAACTATAGAAGGTATTTGAGAAGCTGGAAAGAATGAAGTGGTGGTGAACTATGTAGTAGGCTGGGCAGTGTGTGAAACTGCTGTGAAACAGAGCAAATTCAGTGGTAGAAATAAGAGTAACTTCAAATAGGGGAGTTTAAATCTGGATTGTTTGATAATTTAAAAAGAAAAAAAAAAAGCTGCCAGAAGTTTGTCCAGCCTGTACTTCAGGATAACTAGTTAGATTATGGGGTGTGCTGCTATGGAATGGTTCTTAGCTCTGTTTCGTTGTGGTAGGTCTGTCATGGTCAAGATTACTGTTACACTGTGATGCTTCTACTGTGCAAGAGCTCCCATATATATGAAAGTGAAGTACAATGTTATTTAAGATCTGACCACTTGGAGTATCATAAAAGAATTGCAATGGTTTTTTATCCACTTGTGCTACGTAAAGATTGAGCAGTTACTTGATTTAAATGATGTGTTTCTCTTGCCTCCTTAAATAACTTAATTTTACGTCATGGAATATGGATATTGTTTAATACTGAACAAAAGGCAGTTCTAGCAGGATTTATTTCTTGTGAGATTAGAGTCAGGTATTCTGTTTAGAAATATGGTCAAATCTAGGCTGTTTTCTTTCCCGTCCCTTTTATGTAGTATTACTGCCAGGGTGATATTGAGAAACAAAGGGCTGTTCTGTAGCAGAAGCAGCAAAAATATGTTGGCTTTACAGAGCACCTGTACCAGCTGATTACCTTTCAGGTGCTGGTAGTAGAGCTTTTAAGGTATGCAAAATCAGATGTAAATTGCCTCTGCTGTGAAAAGGGAATAGGAGTTGGGGGGGTGTTGCTTCAGTAATCAGTGTGTGGGGCTAATAAGCGGAGCATTTGTGGAGCTCAAAGGAAAAAAATAAGAAGCTCTAGAGTCAGGTGTCTAAATCTCAATTTGTAGAAACAAAATTAGTAGTGAATGAAAGTAGGGTAAGAGAAATAGGAAACCTGTTATACGGACTGTTAAAAGATAATCTTACTTAGTGCCAGCTATGTGGAGTGCTGTTAGTAAATGTTGTCCTTTTTTTAGTGTTGATGTGGTTATCTGTTGGAAGAGCAATAAACTTTAAGAGTATGACTTTCCATCTGGTCTTACACCAGAGCACTGCTGTGGGGGTGGCCTGAGCTGCTGTTCTGGGGTTGAACGGGGCTTTGTCCAAACAAAGTTCTTTATCTGAAGGTACAGCTACAGCCTGGTTAGATTAGTGTGCAGAGTGAGAGTGCTGAGATTGTCTGTCTGCTTGCTCTGGAGCCCTTCTACCTTTCCACTTAAAGGTGGGCTTTGTGATGACAGATTACTTTGCTCTAGCACAGTTTGTGTTTGTACTTGGACTTTTGTTTCCAGCTTTGAATGAATGTGTTGTATTGAATCAGGATTATTTGAAGTTGTTTGTTTTTTTTTTCTTTTCCCCTGATGACTGTTGTACTGATTGGTATGTGGATAGTAATGCAGAAGTTCCTGTGAGGAATTTTCTAAGGGACCTGATAGTTGGATATGAACTAAGTGGCCAGATTTTCTTAGTGAAGAATAGGTATAGGTGCAATTATTTAATCATTAATAATTTGTTATACCATGTGGTGTTTGATTTTGCTGTTGTTTGAAGAGGAGGAGGTGTATATGATCTTTAAAGGTGCCTTCTTACCTAAACAGTTCTATGGTTCTGTGTATCTATGGGGTTATTTTGTTAGGATTAGCCTGTCTAAAACAAGATTTTAAAGAAGTACTTACTGGAAGGGCAGTTGTATTCAGTGCCTCAGAGATCATAGCCCTCTGAAGTACAGTAATGTATTTTTATTGGAAGGATGGAGAAGATGATGAATTACTTCATTAGGCATGAAATAAGTTGATCAGGCTTTCTCATTAGAGGTAAAGGGGTCATTAGCATTATTCTTTATTCCTGGTTAGGAAGCAGATGGGTTGCTTAGAAAAGAGTATCATGTTAGTGTGGGAAGAAATCACAAGATGAGCTAAGAAAGAAAAGATGAGAATAGCTGAATGTGGATAAAATGCAAGGAAATATATGAGAAGCTATTAAAGAGTGAAATGTGCAGTAAAGACCTTGCTGGGGAAAATAATTATTGTATTTGAATCTATAAAGTGGGGAGAGATGAAAAAGCTGTTAGATGAAAGCTTGTCTTACTCCCCTGGATGTGAAGATAGTGGGTTAAAATGAAGTGTAGGTACATATGAGTAAGACTTGAGGGGGCTCATGGCCAACATTTACATTGGTTCTGGAAAAGCTGGGCCAGTGGCTGCTTATTACACAACTTAGTACACAGTCTCGTGATGAAGAGCTTTAAGACAAAGCACAACTTCCAAGTCAGGGTAAAATCACAGAACTAACTGTTTTGTATTATCCAATACATGAACGCTTCAGGAGTTATTTTTCTCCTCATTCTTTCAGGTAATTAACTTTTAGAGTTGGAAATGTTTCAAATGTGAACTCAAAAATTGATCTTTCTGTCTATGACTTAGCAATAGAAGAAAGTTAACAACAAGAATAAAAAAAAAAATTAAAAGTACTGAAACTTCTGTCTCTGTCCTTTACCCTTGCTTTTTCCAAGTGTTGGAAAAGGTAGGTCAAATTTATTGAGAAGGTCACTTTTAGTTCAAGTAGTGAAAAGTAGTAACAACCTTCCAGACAATCCTATTTTATCACTACTGCATTCTTCTGTTTAATATTTTTACTGCTTTTCAGTTGTTTATCAAGTAGTGTACAGAAGTAAAAACATTCTTAGTTTTGCAGTAACTCAGAATAGCATGTTTTCTTATTCTTAAGCTACACTTGACCAGCCTTCATTCTGTCTGGAGTTGACTGTTGTACCAGGATTATTTACAGCAGTAGAGGCTCTTGCCAATTTTTCCTCCTACCCCCCCATGTCAGACTTTCATTATCTGACATTTAAGATAACTTTCTATGTCTACAGGGATTCATTGTTTTCTCCTTTTCTATTAGTCAAGGCTGGTATAACATGATAGTTTTTAAACTAGTCCTGGGATTAGTTTGTACAGAACAGAATGTTTTCTTAAGTGACTTTTTTAAATACTTAGCAGGTGCTAGTGCTGTCCCTGGAGTGCAGTGGCATGTACAAAATTTGGAGGCATTGAAATGGCAATCTTCTGCTGAAGGTGAGTAAAGACTAGTCAAACAGGTCTCCATAGTTGATGTGTGTAAAGAGGAGTGGGGAAAAAACCACCTGAGCTAGCTTGATGAATTTATTAGTTACTTTTGGATTTGTTACTTTCATTAGCCCTTGAGTCAGAAGATTACAAGTGAGTGTTAGACTTACATTTTTCTTAATCCTGTTCTGTGTGGGCATTCTTTGCCCACTTCTGTTGCTTTTTTTACTTGAAATAGCACCCATGGTGCAGGTGGTTAAGCTGAAAACTAATTACTGCTGGGACAAGCACACTGAAAAACAACCTTAAAAACAGGATGAGTGGATGCTGGAGAAAGAATATGGACAAGTTGAGATCATGTTCAAGTTGGATAACTGGCTTTACTTAATTTCAGTGCACATAATTTGGTAGAAGAATAATCACTTGAGTCAAGCATAAGTTAAATTACATCAAATGCAAGTAACTGAAAGGGCAAGACTTCTGATTTGGGGTAATTTTTTTCCCCAAGTTCCTTTAATTTCTCCAGCGTCATCTGTTGGCCCTTGCCACAACAAAACAGCTACTTAGCTCTGGTAAAAATCATTACTAGAGGTTGGAGAAGCGATGTCAAGAGCTGTTAAGCTTAATACATTTTTGAATATATTTGTAAAGATTGATAATTGCATTATAAAAACCCACTTCTCAGCCCTTCACTGGTGATGCTATTTCTGTGTTTTAAACACTTCAATGCACTTTTGACTTCAAAAGGTAAACTTTCTTGAAACAGAAGTAATGTTGTTATGACTTCATTAAGGTACTTTAACATTTAAAGAGACTCTATAGTTCTAAAGAAGTCAACCATGAGAATGTGATGGTTGTGACCATACCATTAATGACTTGGGAAATTTAAATGCATCCTGTTGAAGGTTTCAATGTATTATTGGTAACTGAGGTAGCATAAAATAGTCTACCTCTGGTAACTAGCAAGTGCAATATTCCCATTTATCCAGGATATCCTCTATAGGAAGAAGCATGCTAAGTTCTGTGTAGCTATATTTCATCAGTTTGTGGTATCAGAAGTAGTTCAGGCTTCTGCACGCAGCTTATATGGCAGGACACTGGAACAAGACAAGCTTTAAGGTCCCTTCCAACCCAAACCATTCTGTGATTCTATATGTATAACACAACTGTTAGGTACAGTGGCTGTAATATAGTAAGGCTTTTTACTATAACCAGATTAATTATTACAGGTGATGCATCAGTGCTGTCACATGAACATTTAATAACTTATGTTACCTTTTGACAAATCGGCATGTGCTCTCTTATTGAGAAACAGTTTTGTGTAAGCTTCATTTAATATCGTTGAAAGATTCTGCAGAGTGTTCTGCCTTACAGAAAGAGGCGAGGTCTGTGGGACTCTGTGGAACTGTTAGTGAAAATTCTTTTGGTAATGGATTTCCAGAGCTGCTCTGCAGCTGTGTTATTTGAGACTCAAGAGGCATGGCTTAGGTTTGATAAATTGATGTGGCTACAAACAAGGTGAAAACTGAAGTGAAGGGAGGAAAAGCAGTTATGGTGATGTCTCCACAACTTGAGACTGCTGTGAAAAGAGGTCCTGAATTTATTGCTCTAAGTACCCAGGACAAGACTATGGACAAAGGAAGAACAGTGAGTGTTATTAACCTTAATAAGCTTATAATAAGATTTCCTAAAATGTGCTTGTAGCCGAACTGGTGAGATATGGTTTGGGAAGTGGATTATTAAGTGGGTGAAAAGTTGTGTGTAGTGCTGAACTTGAAAGGTTCTGATCAGCTGAAGTCCACCTGGAGGCTTGTTACTGGTGGCACCAGTGCAGGGGCAGTTTGTCTGCATTCCAGCCACTCTTCCAGGTCACTGATGTACTTAGAGCAAATTTGTGGATGCTGCCAGACTGTGAGGGTCAATTGACTTGCTGGAGGCTAGGGCTAATTGAGTGGGATGTTTGCAGGTTGGAGAAATACCTGTTGGAAAGTTTATGAAGTTCAAAAGCAAATGCCAAGCCAAATCTCTTTGGGGCAGAATGACCCCATGCAGCAGCATAAATGTGGTGCCAACTGGTGAAAAGTACCTTTAACAGTAAAGAACATAAGGGTCCTTGTGGGTCAGTGTGTGTCTTTGTGGTGCAAAAGGTGAAGAGCACACAGGGCATGGTCAGCCAGTTGAAAGAAGCAATTATTCTCCACTATTTGGAGCTTGTGAGACTGCATCAGAAGTACCATGGACAGTTTTGTATTCCCAAATACAAGGAAGATGCTGAGGTGCCTGTGAAAGGCCACTAAGATAAGGAGTCAACAGCACATGATGTATGAAGAGGGCTTGAGGAGTGAGTTTGTTCAGCTTTGAGAAAGATCTGGAGTGGGGGATCCTAACTGCTGGCTCTGACTGTTTAATAGGTAGTGAGGAGGAAAATGAAGACAGACTCTCCTTAGCTATGCTAAGGATAAGAGGGAAAGGATAAGAGGCAGCAGACACAAGCTACAGCAAGGCAGATCTTTATAATGTGTTAGCAGTATGTTTTCCCACACAGAGAATGAAGCACTGAAACAGGTTGTGGGATCTCTCCCTGAAAATATTCAGAACCTGACTATGGTATGACCCTGAGCAACTTGATCTGACTTCAAAGTTGGCCCTGCTTTCAGTTGGGGGTCGGATTGGATAACCTCCAGAAGTCCCTTTCAGTCTAAATGAGCCTCATATTGTGCATGGGTAAGCAGGAGCTAGTATACTATAGTTAGTCCTGGAAGAAAAGTAGTAGTTGGAAATCTATCCAGATTAAAATGTCCAAGTCAAGTCTGAAGCAAGTTTTTCGTATAAAGCAATTTGGTTGCTAAAAGCTTACTTTAAAATTGGATCCCATTGTTAACTCCTAATGGAAGTCATAACTGTTAGAGGATTTGTTAAAGATCTGCCTACATTTCTTCTGTTACTTCAGTAAGGAGCCAGTAAGACCAGTCTCTTACAGCACGAGCTGGCTGACAGTGTGACACATATAGAAAATATAGTTTGGCAGTAAATCCAGCAGCTATTAAAGAGCATTCCCTAAGCTTAGTGTCATGATGCAGTTCCTGGACAAAAAAGGGTTAACTTTCTGAAGTAGCTTGCAGTGGAAGGCGGCCTTAAGAGCTAAAAAAAAGTCAGCAGTGTCAGCAGTGCAGGGGGCAGCAGGCATCCGCATAACTTTGTAATGTAACTGTTAACTCATCAGATCTTCTCATGGACAGCTGAGATTTGCTGGTCCTGACAAAATGCGTTTATTTTATGTCATTTTGTGGCTGCAGTTGTTCAATATTGGCAGACAACATTCAAACTTTACAGGTAGTTGAAAATGTGAAGTTAATGTTTAGCTGTCTTTCCGAACTTATTTGAGACTTTGCTACTTAGTGCAAAGTACAACCTTCCTTCTCCTCCCCCAGACCTCAGTCCTCTGGAGAGTAGGTGGTATGTGGAATGACAGCATATAAAAAGGGAAGGAATGGTCTGCTTAAGGGAGTCGGGACTTTCCTACGGATTAAAGGTCTTGTTGCTTCATCTAGAAGGACATCACACACATCAGTGCTCCTGACCACTTTTTAATGACTTTCTAGTTTCAATGTAGGAGGTAGAGTGCTGGCGGCAGGGAATGCTGAATGCTTACAACTGTTGCTGTACACTTAGCAGAATTTCAGGTCCTTCCTTATTAATTTCACAGAAAAACCAAAGCAAAAATCAAACCCCCCAGAGCCCCCAGAATCCTGATAACTTGGTATTTATGTCAAGCAATTGCTTGTACAGAATTTCTTGGTAGCTTGTCCTTGAGCTTTCTGTAAGGACTGTGTGTGCTCACACCACTAAATGCAGTGGGCAGTCTCTCTCATTATGCTGTGTTCCTTTCTCCACTGAAAGTTGGAGTGATGTCCATTTCCACATTACTTGAATTTTTGCTTTATTGTTCCTGTGTAAAAGTAATATCCTACCAAAGACACAGGTGTTAACACAACAGTATTTTTTTCATTTATGTTGTTCTCCCCAAAATGGCTAAAGTGCACTACATAGTTGGGGTTTTTTAAGTTATTTGTACTTAAAACTTCATTCTTGGTTAAGTTAGGAATTTCATAGCCCTGCTGGAGTGTGGGAAATCTTGAACCAATTTAAGGAAGAAATACTTCTCTCTGAGGGAGCACGTGCCAAAGTGATTGAGGAATAAATACTGTTCTGTGGTGATATTGAAGACTCAGCTGGCTGAGTCTCCAAGCAGTCTTATATAACTGGACCTACTTTAAGCAGGACTAAGTAGCCTCTAGAGATCCCTTGCCTCTTACCTATGTGAAATCATTATTCTCTACATCAATATTAGAGCTTGTTTGTCTTTGCCACTGATAAGTGTGTTATGAAGAGACTTGTACCTAGGACTTCACTTGTGTTTGTGGTAATTACTAGGTGGAAATGATCACTATAGCTTTTATGTTTGTTGGATATGACTTGTTGAGCACTTTAGAGATGTCACAGGCTTTCTGTGAAAGCTACCTTTTTTTGGTGTTTTTTTTTTTTCCCCTCTACAAAGTGGTACTGATGATGAATAGTGATTCCTGGAACTTGAGTCTGAATATTTCAGTCTGACAAATGAAGTCAGTGTGATTAAGTCAAGAATGTCTTGCTGCTCATAACTTAGACTGTGGGATAGACTTGAGCTTTCCGGGTAATTAGCAAGATGCACGTTGTAGTTACCCTCATGGCTGGGATGGAAGTGTATGTATTGACTGCTGTGTATTAGAAAAGGGAGTTGTTACTTTATAATGAAAGAGAACAAACAGCAGTGACAAAAAATCCTATACTGACACTTGGTGTTTGTATTTTTTGATTCTGGTTGCAGTTGCCTTGTTTTATTTCTGTTAGTATGTGTAATGGTAAGTTAATTATATGGTAGTGTTGAAACAACAATGGTATAACTTGGAAGGGAAATTGTTTGTTGGACTTTTGTGACATCTGGAATAGCAACCCACGTTTTTGCAAGT